GCTTTTTAAGCTTCAGCAGCCAATTTGGGTTCGTCGTCGTGGTCATCACCACCAAAAAAGCATCGCAGCAAGTCTGTCCCATCCATCAATTGCATGGGCATTGGTACGTCGGGTAGCCTAACAATACTCTGGTGTTAGGCTACATTCATCACTGTCGTCATGCACCCTCATCACCAGGCGCACAATTTCCACACCTGACAACTCTTTCATTGTCCCTGCCTCAGCATCAGCATCGACGTACATGCGCAATGTAAGGCACAACGGCGGCGTGAAGGAGAGCCTGCCACGACGTTTGGGCCTGGTTGTCCACAGCATCCTCACTGGAAACATCGCCGAAATATTCAGACCTATTTTTTTTTTTTCTCGGCGCCTGACTCAACGGCTTTCAACATTGCCAACTTCTGCTCGATTGTTATATTCTTGCGCTTACGTTTGCCACTGCGCTGCTGTTGTCCATCTCGAGTCGGGCGACGAAACTAATACAGGTGGTGTTACTCTTTCACAGCGAACGACAAGGAACATAGCCATAATCTCCGCCGTCCCAATGCGAAGCTCAAAGGGAGGAAGGAGGAGGTCAGATGCGCGGGTGGGTCAATGAGTTCTACAGGAGAGGGGAGGCTGACCGACGCGCACGCTGCAGTTGCTGCGTGGGCGAGTCCATTAGTTCCTGAGAAAAGGGGAGGCAGTGAGACACACCCACGCGCGTTGGCAGGCGGCTCCCAGTGAGCGCAAGGCCAGAGTTATGAATAACTGCAGTCATGATGATACGTAAACTGCCGCACACTATAAGATATTGAATTGACGTATACCAAAATGATCAGTAAATGCTCGTTGTGGACAAAGACTGGTTCATTATGTCTATTGTGAGGAAATATTCACTTCATTTAAACGAAGTTTTATATACATGAGCGAATATGAGAACTTTAAGGGGAATTAGAATTGCTTCGCTATATTAATTAGTTCGTCATACCCCACTTCCTTATAACAAGGTTCTACTTAACACGAAGCAGCACGAGAAATGAACGCGGGCTCTACCACTGCTCGACAGTGGTGCTCTTAACACGAAATCAAGTGCACATGCGTGTGCACTTGATTGAATGCGCTGGATACTGTTGTTCTAGGAGATTCTAACTTAAACGGTAGCCTGATGTCCTTGGAATGCGAAAATCTGGTTATCAAACATCTACTTGAGGCCTTTTGAGGTCTCTCGCTCTTTTATTTTACAAAATAAACAATATGTCGTGCTTGTTGCATATTGGCTTTGTTCCTATGTAAAATACCGTGCATACTCACATAATGAGTGCACGCCCATAATAAACGCACCCCCAACTTCATTCGTCGAAATTGAGATTTTTTTCTCACATAACAAACGCAATCCCTACATTCATCCCCTGCAGTCCCGCTAACCGACACCTGGCGCCTACTTACCTTTTGGGTCTCTTCAGTTCTTTATTTACTATGCCAACCACCCTTGGCTACTTCGGCTCGCTCTCCCCCCTGTTGCCGGGTGCAGTATTGTTTACCTTTCTATCTGTGCGCGGCACGTCTCGTCTTTTTTATCTGCGCGTTTCAGCGAAATTCACGAATGCGTGTGTAGAGACATCGCAGCTGATAAGCACACAGCGGGCAAGAGTAAGCGAGGGTCACGAATCTGCCCGCACGGCCCGACGATCGCTTCCTGCAAATACAAATTTTTAAGGCCCAAGGACGTGCAAGCTATTTTCGAGCGACGATGACAGGATTTGCTGCTGCAAAGAGTCATTCGTGGCTAACGCGTCTCAGGTTTCTAGAAAACTAGAAAAAATGGCTTGTCACCCAGAAAAGATCGGGACGATTTCCACAACATCCCCGATACTCACTACGCTTGTTCGCCGCACATTCAGAAACTTCTCACGTGGAAGTGAGGTGGCGGCCGTATTTTGTGGTTAATCTTCTTATCGGAGGTTTGTTTTGATCTTTTGGAGGTAGCTTGCTCCAATGTTCGCTCCTTGCTACAATGACAACAGCGTCGTCGTGCGAGGTTGCCGCGAAGTTAGCAAAGTGTGTCGTAGCGCACGCTTCTGGGAGCCCCTCGAGATCACAGCAGATACCACTATTGCAGTTAAAAGATTGCGAAAAAAGATAGTCGCAAAACGCTTTTATGGCGTACGCGGGCGGCACGGGGACAGCTTGCAGAAGATAGCAACAACAACCCCCGAAAATGAGGAAAGTGCAGCGAAGAACCTGTTTCTAAACAGTCTACGCGTATGCAAAAAGCTAAGCAACCTAATTATCTTTTTTGTATTACAGCATTTTTTGCTCTATCCAAAAAAGATTTCATAAAATCTGCCCCGCATAATAAACACATCCCCAACTTTGCTACAATTTTTCAAGAAACAAAAGTGCATTCATTAGGTGAGTAAATGCGGTATTCTTTGCTGCAACCGGGTTTCGTTTGCAATTAGAGTACATATATATGGCATTGGCATACGTGAGTGCAGAACTAAAACCACTGCAATCACCGTTGTGAACAGTGACATATCTCTAGGCTTCTGCTATAGTTGCGCTCATCGGAGCTTTGGTTGCGGTCCCGCTGCAGAATGAGGCTGAATTTCATTGCTCCGCAGAAGTACTGGCGGCCAATTTTTGAAAGCGGCAACAGCCTGTTCGCAGAAAGGTAAAGAATTATCTCATTAAGGACGACTTCTGTCTCCAGTAATTAAAACAATATTATTGTTAAATACTGCCGCAATTAAAGTGTTTAGCGATTTTGAGATTTCTGACGTCATTCCGGGAGCCGCATAAAACTGCCCTGCGAGCCGCATGCGGCCTGCAGCCTACAGATTGTGGACCCCTGAGATAGACGGTTTGGCGCAGTTTATGTCAATTTTATCAGGTTAGCACAGCAAATCTCGTTTGGCGCACTTTGGCGCACTTGGCGCAGGAATGGGATCCTTATATGAATAATGGTCATATCCTTATATGAATAATGCTATCAGTGATAAGATTGGTGCGGCCACTGTGCTGACTGCCTGCGTGCCTGTGCCTTCCCACGTATCTATGATGTAAGACTCTGGCCTAGGCTATAAAAAGCCTATCTGTATCGTTTGTGTTATGTACTGTATTATGTGTTGTAATCCTTGTACTGATTTGATCCTTGTCAAATAAAGCAGTGAGTTCCTTCTATCAAGTTCGCCTGATTCCCATCTTCCAGAGTCAAGTTACAACAGAGATGTTATCGTATGAGCCCTCTAAGCGATAGAAAATTGCAAGCTCATTTGACCTCTGCTTCAACAGTGCTGGAGTGCTTTTACCCACTCCTGATCTTACGATGCCCGAGGGCATGTTATTGATTAGGGCTTATTATGGGAGATGGTGGCAATGGCGAAAACTCGCCTAGAGTGTCCATATAATTGCTATCAAAGTAATCTCACATTTTTTCCTGCCAAATAGGTGTTTTGGGATAGCTCTGCCTTCAGTTCCCCTTTTGCTTTATTTGTGAATTCATTTTTATATTTCTCGTAGCGAACCTGGATATAACGAAATCCTCGTTATAACAAACTTTTCCAGGAATTGGTCAACTTCGTTATATCCAGGTTTAACTGAGTAGTTATTTTCTTTTACCTTCTAGCAGCACTTGCACCGACTGAGAAGAGTGCTAGATGCCACCAGATGCCATACTAGATGTAGAATGGTACAAATGGTGCAGCACTTCCATCCCTGTAATAGACACCCTCCGAGACCACGTTGACAATGACGGATGATCGGAGGTTAAAGCGTTGCGCGTTTCTATTTGCACCACAAGTTCAATGGACCGTAGCCGCAGATAAGCCAAGTAGCTCTGACAACAACACGATGGCACGTTGAATGCAATGCAATGAATGCGATAGCAACAGACTGCCATCTTATACGAAGTGAGGGTGGCAGCCAAATCTTTTGAATCAGATATTGTGGAACTCCTAACGCTGCTGTAAGCAAGTATGGCCACTCCAGGAAGAAGTGCTCTTTTCATACAGTCTCTACATGTTAAAAGCACACTGATGCTTGCTTAGATAGTACGGGCGCCAGCGATCACGACCACAGCCTTGAAATAAAAGTTCACCGTTGCTACTCAAGAGACCCCCTCTTCCGCATTACTTAATGCTTGTTTAATACAGGTGGTTTCGTTTCTATTTATTAATTCGATGGCGAAGCTAACACGCAGGGAGATGTTATCGTATTTGCCTTCTAGGCAATAGAGATGGGCTGACTCATTTGATATCTGATTGAGCAGCGCTTGTGTGCTTTTACCCGCTTCAGAAAGTTACAATGCGCGGGGGCATGTTCTCAATTTGGACTATGTAACATGGCGGCGACAGCAAGAACGCGCCGAGAGTAGCCATATACAATTTCCATCACAATAATAGCGCAGTTTTTTACAGCAAAATAGGTGTTTTGGGTTAGCTCTGCCTTCTTTTGTTTATTTTGTGTGTTAATTTTTCGAATTTTTGTACTGAACCTGCACATAACCAAACCCAAGAATTCGACAATTACGTTATGTCCAGGTTTAACTGTATTAACAGCAGGATCCACACTACAGATGTCTGTACTCTTTGTGTCTATACGGTGTGAAGTACACCAATTCAGGCAGGGATATTTAGGGCTAAGCACACAATTTAGTTTCTCCCATCTGTAGTTCGCATTCTGTCGGCAAAATTTCGAATCAAACACTGTGATTAAGGCCAGCATTGTCTTTAGAGACCATGTTCATTGCGACACAAAGTCTCAAACAATTGCTCTTACCAGTCATGCAATGAAATTTGATGCTGCATGTGAATTCGTGAATACCGCACGTAATTGGTGTCTCCACACCATGCATCTGTACCCTTTCATATGAACAATGCAGCCTAGAACATTATGCTTAGCATGCCAGGATATGGCTCTGCATAGTTAACGCATGCTTTTACAAATGCACTGTTAAATAAATGTACAAGAAAACAACGTGGCGTGTGGCGTGGAAATATAGTGGAATCTTGACTGACCCCGTCACAGAGGTGGTCATTTGGGCTGCTGTGGCCACAGCAGAGCCTCCTATGCTGGGCGATGACGGCGGTGTCGTGCTCTCGGCAGCTGGCGGAGAGCTACCCAGGCATTCCTCCGCATCCACTGAAAACAAAAAGGACATTGCCGAACTTAAAAAAACACCGGGCTGAGCCAGCAAGTTTATGTTTAAAGGAGCACTAACACATAAAAGTGAGATAGATTCATGTGGAGACACACACACCATCTAGGAGATGGCGTGTGTGGCCATGAGGGAACAAGGAACTGAAACCGTAAGACCTGCAGTGATTCCTTATGCTCATAAGGTCTCCCACAACCTGAAAAAGGTAACAAGCCAGTATAGAGTACCTGTTGCCCTTTCCATGCCCGTAACACTGGCTCAGCTTTGCCCAAGAACTGCTCAGGGGGCGGAGGCGAGCCGTCAGAGATGCGGTAAGAAACATAGCACGATTTACAGGAAATGAGCCAAAGGCATTGTTTATGAGATTCCCCTGTCTTGTGGCACCTCGTACATGGGGACTTTCAGTCGCTGTATTAATGAACGGGTTGGGAGCATGAATTAAAGCCATTTGCCTATGCATTATAAAGCCTGCGGGTGTGTACCACGTATTAATGAGTTTAGGATTCTAGGCAGAAGTAGGTATAAAACTGTGCGTGAGTTGATGGAAGCTTATTACATTAAAAATAAAGGTAAAAGGTGTATCAGTGAACTGTCAGTGATGTTGTACTTATCAGAGAAGAGATTGATAGCTGGATAGCATAAGGCTGTGTGAAGACTGCGCATGTCTGTATGTTGTTACTTAAGTCTGTGTTTGCGCTCGATCTACTTTAGTTGAAAATGCCGCTTGTGCTTGTCGTTGAGTGTTCCTTTACTTTTTGTTTGCGCTTGCTTGTCGTTGAGTGTTCCTTTACTTTTTGTTTGCGCTATTTGTGGCCAAATCATGCCATTAAGCAAGTACCAACTAGGCCAACAATCAGTATTATCACATCTACGAGATATCAGGAGCAAATATGGTCTAAAACATATTTAAAATCAATTTCGAAGTGCACGACATTCAAAATGAACGAGATGTGGAGTTCCCCAAGAGGCAGACATTATACCTGGGGCAATGTTAACAAACCTATGTCACGAGTTTGTATGCAATGGTAGCTGGCACGCCCCTTGCATTGTTTTGGCAGTGAGGGCAGTGCTTGCTCACACATACTCTCGCACGCGGCGCCCATGTCACAGTTTTACTTGGTCATGTGGCCAGCAGTGTTTACCTTGCACCAGGTACTTCTCCTGCCTAGCTTGGTGCTCTTTGAAACCGAAAGTGAAACTGGGTAATGTAAAAATGTCTCTAAATTATAAATAAACATTACGCACTTATGCAAATCGGTTTTCCAGCCATGATAAGTGCGTCATAGGCTACCTACCAATAAAAAAAAAACAACATGCAAAGTTTTTGTGTCAGTCCTCCTTTACGTACGGCACTTAGAAATTATTTTTAAAATTTTTTGATGAATGTTGATAAAACTTGGTGAGCTTATCTATATTTGTGAGCAGACTTCAAACATGCAATTATTTTTCTTGTATAAAGTGAGTGTACTTTTTGAAATACAATATATTTCATGTGCCTTTTGGGGAGCAAGCCTTTCTCTAAACTAAAATAGTTACAAATTAAATTACATGTCACAATTATTTGAAACCCTATCTGATTGCAGTGCAACAAAATAGATGTTCTAAACCTATAAGAAGAAAGGTTATGGTATATTGAACATTTGCCAGTGAAATCCCACCCTGAAATTGGCTTACTCACAAATGTTCAATGTACCATAATGGGAATGCTTCATATATTCAAACAAATATTAAAGTATGCTAATTCGGTTCAAATCACATTTGAGTTACAGTAGATTATCCCTACAGAAGACGAACTCGAAAGGGCTATGATCATTTGTTTGCATATCAGAAGTGTCCCCAAAAACCAAATGCTAACATGCCAAGTGGACCCAAATATATTTCTTGAAAACACTGAAAGGAGTAAACTTATAATGGGGAAGAAAGAAACAGAAAAAGCATTCACTTGACTCAGCTTGATAAAAACCATGCTTTCAAGGGGAGTATTTGTACTAATTTAACGGGTACTCAATTTCATGAGTTCATAAATATATCTTTTGCTATCACATTTTCACAATAAAACTGTAGCACAGGCATATTTTGATGATTAGAAAAAATTAAAAAGGAAGTGCAATTTTTCTTCAATGAATGAATTCTTCGGGCTGCCCTGAGAGGCTGTTTTACTGGCTTTTTTATCACTTCAGAATAGCCTCCATTGTATGCCGACAAAGCCAACATACACAGAGTTGCTTATGCAAGTCTTCGAGATTTTTTCCTTTTCAGGTCGCAGTAACTTCCGAAAGACGTGCACCTCATTTACACTACTCGTGATCGCAATCCTCGGGCACCCAAAAAAGACACGGCACTGCTATACAGTAGAACCTCATTAATACATTGCCCAAAAAAATTGTGGAAGATAAATGTATGATCAGAGAAAATGTGCGATTTGAATCCAACAAAAATTGAGGCTGAGAAGTCCATATAGAGATATAATGGCAAAAAACAATTATTTTTCAAAAAACATACTAATTTCCTGCTGCTGTCTGTCATCATTGCTTCTTCACCACACCCTTGTCCACATTTTCATAGTTTTTCTTGCAAAAGAAGCTTTGTAAAGCTATCAGTTCAGCAAGGGCTTCGGTGAAGTTGTCGCCGCTGTCTTACAGTGCCTCGTACCCTTCCTTCCTGGCTGCATCGCCCGCCACCACCGCTGCGACAATATCACTGACACTTTGGGGCTTGCAAGACGGGACGTTGTCATCTATCGAGACGAACTCGGCGATGGGTGCATATGTGCCAGTGGAGGAGAACTCCTCATCAATGTCATCGTCGATGTCTGACGCGTACGCCACCGGGTCTTTGTGCAGCGCTCTGCATCCTCCGATGCGAGCTGCCGTTGGAAACCGTACTTCTTGAAACAATCGCTAACCGTTTATATGCCCTGAATGTCATCAACCGGACCGCCCATGCATGTGAAGCCACTCGTACTCACCTTCTGACCTTCCAAGAAAACCAAGAGCGTCGGTATGATTAACGACACTGCGAGGTGCACTTTTAGCACGGTTCGTAGGTGTTGCTGTGGTCTTCGACCAGGCATGCTGGCTTGTCTCACAAACTGCTCTCACGGTACACAGGTTCATACCGAGTGCTTTGTGCAGTGACTGCTGTTACTTATCAAATCCTTCCTGCTTCCACGTCATCTTCATCCACCCCTCACCTCAGGCCAGTGACATTGTCCAAGTCGCACGCCTGAAGCAGTACCACTCGCCCAATGACCCTGATGTCTAGATGCCTTGAGACAGCGCCTTTGCCGACGGGGGTCATGCAACATGTGGGCTGCCGGAAAGCATATTGGCGACGCGTGATGTCCGATGAAGAGGATGAAGGTCACTTGCTGCTCGAGCTCAGAGCCGGACTGGCCAGCGCTGCAACTGCTCTTACAAATATATTTTGTGAATGGCCTGTCATTAAGCGACTCGTTATTTATGTAACGTTTCCCACCAGGCTGCACAACTGTGCTACAGCCCCTTGATCAAGAGGTGATTAGCACAGCCAAATCAAGTACACAGCTCAACTTGTTCAACGGCTGCTGTTCGACATGTTCCAAAAGCGCAAAATAGCAATCAATGCGACAACTGCGATTGTGATGTTGACAAGCTGGTGGAAAGATATCCAGAGGAGCATCGTGATAGGGTGCTTTCGCAAAGTGGGTTTTGATCTCTAGCAGGGAGACACAGAGAAAGATGTTGGCACATTCCAGAAGTCTGGCATTCTAGAACAACCCTTCTGTAGCGGAAGATATTTCTGATGAAAACATAGTAAGAATGCTGTAGAAAGAGAAGCAAGCAGAAGATAGTGATACAGATGTGCCGGACAGCAAAGAATGTACACTGCCAATGACATCTGGTCAAGTCAAGACCATGCTGCGCAAAGTTGCAAACATATGGAGCTTTGGCCCGGCTGCTACAAGGCCCTTGGCGGCAGGCTTAGAAGGAGCTGTATTGGAAAACAGTATACACACAGCTCTAAATCAAACAACAATGGAGAACGGTTTTTATCAGTGGAGTGGTTTTGTTAAATATTTATTCAAGAAAGAACAGTACGAAGTGTGGGCACGATAGCAGAGCTAGAACATAGTGTGCCGAATCGAACGTTATCTTAGCATGGATGAATTTCTCATCTGTCTGAATTATTAAACTTATGTTTCACTCTAGTCTACCGGCAAAGACACCTTCGTTCTACATTTTATAGTGCTGACAAATCCAAGACTCTGCGATCTGAGCAACCCTATGAAAGGACTTTGCCTGCAGCAAAGATGGAGCATATCAAAAGACAGTGAATGACTCAGCGAACTCTGCACATGCATTTACGCATTGAAGCACGGAAGCTCATTGACTCCAACCATTTCACTTCAGCGGATCTTAATGTGATGTACGGCAGGCTAAAAGCATGCAATAAAGGCTGGCGAGCACTCAACTTAGAGTTTGAAGCACCACTCATTGACAGTCAAGTTGCAGAAAATTACGTATGCCTCTGTAGCAGTACATGAGGACTACGCTTTTGCTACACTGTCGTTGCTCAGTTACCACATGGAGGAGCTCAAGGCGTCACCGTCCACGATCCATGTCAGTGCTGCAACCAACAACATTTAGAACGAAGGTATCTCCACTGTAAGAAGACACGGGCTTGTCAGCTCTCGTCTCCCTAAACTTCTGATGCTTCCCTTCAACAAAAGCTTAACGCAGTGGCAACCTTTCTGGGGCATGTTCAAGCACACTGTTCCCGAAAACTTGAGTCTCACAAACATCGAACTGTTCCACTATATGAGGAGCCTACTAACTGGACAGGCATCAAAGGCCATCGATGGCATTAAAGCCACAGAGGGGTCCTACGAAGACTATCACGCTTCTAAGAAATCGATTTAGGAACAAAAAGACAATCAAACAATACTTAGAAGAACTGCCAAAGCTCAAGTCAACAAAGTCGTGCTGCGATGTGGCTTCGTTGT